ATAATAATAATAATAATAATAATAATAATAATAATAATAATAATAATAATAATAATAATAATAATAATAATAATAATAATAATAATTATAATAATAATAATAATAATAATAATAATAATAATAATAATAATAATAATAATAATAATAATAATAATAATAATAATAATAATAATAATAATAATAATAATAATAATAATAATAATAATAATAATAATAATAATAATAATAATAATAATAATAATAATAATAATAATAATAATAATAATAATAATAATAATAATAATAATAATAATAATAATAATAATAATAATAATAATAATAATAATAATAATAATAATAATAATAATAATAATAATAATAATAATAATAATAATAATAATAATAATAATAATAATAATAATAATAATAATAATAATAATAATAATAATAATAATAATAATAATAATAATAATAATAATAATAATAATAATAATAATAATAATAATAATAATAATAATAATAATAATAATAATAATAATAATAATAATAATAATAATAATAATAATAATAATAATAATAATAATAATAATAATAATAATAATAATAATAATAATAATAATAATAATAATAATAATAATAATAATAATAATAATAATAATAATAATAATAATAATAATAATAATAATAATAATAATAATAATAATAATAATAATAATAATAATAATAATAATAATAATAATAATAATAATAATAATAATAATAATAATAATAATAATAATAATAATAATAATAATAATAATAATAATAATAATAATAATAATAATAATAATAATAATAATAATAATAATAATAATAATAATAATAATAATAATAATAATAATAATAATAATAATAATAATAATAATAATAATAATAATAATAATAATAATAATAATAATAATAATAATAATAATAATAATAATAATAATAATAATAATAATAATAATAATAATAATAATAATAATAATAATAATAATAATAATAATAATAATAATAATAATAATAATAATAATAATAATAATAATAATAATAATAATAATAATAATAATAATAATAATAATAATAATAATAATAATAATAATAATAATAATAATAATAATAATAATAATAATAATAATAATAATAATAATAATAATAATAATAATAATAATAATAATAATAATAATAATAATAATAATAATAATAATAATAATAATAATAATAATAATAATAATAATAATAATAATAATAATAATAATAATAATAATAATAATAATAATAATAATAATAATAATAATAATAATAATAATAATAATAATAATAATAATAATAATAATAATAATAATAATAATAATAATAATAATAATAATAATAATAATAATAATAATAATAATAATAATAATAATAATAATAATAATAATAATAATAATAATAATAATAATAATAATAATAATAATAATAATAATAATAATAATAATAATAATAATAAGCGAATGTACGTGACGATCCTAGTGTGGACCGAGGAGCGAGATTCCGCGGTCTCACTTGTACGCTCGTCGAGTGTCTGCATGGTACACATCAGGGAGAATGGGGTATGTTCGGTGTCAGCTGAGTACACCTGCTCCGCCTCCCGTTCGTCCGCCAACCGGCGGATGGTTTCCACCATCTCCCTCAGTGCATTGGGATCCCTTCTGAATCCGTGGGGGATCAGGTCAGTAAGCACCCCAAGGTCCGCACGGCTCCACAAGCTGCTGGACTGGGCGGTTGTCGCCTGCTGGCTGGCTCTTCTGCTGTGTGACAGCCATTCGAAGAGATCCCGGGAGTTTCCTTCGTTATCTCCTGCCATCCCTACTTTTTTGGAGCTTTCGAAAGTGGTTCTTAGTTGAGAGCTTGGTTTGGAAGAACTTTTTGATCAGTTTCGCACAGACGGCACCAGTGTTGATGTTTATTCCCTTCAACCTATAGGCCCAACACACAAACTAAGGGTTTCGAGTGGGTATTTTAAGAGGAAAAGGTCAAACAAGTAAGATGAGGCCCAATAAGAAGTTTCCGTATAATTCTGTGGTTAAAACGGCGTGAGGCCATTCGTCCCCTTGCTAGGCGTGAGGCCGTTCGTATTTAAGTTGTGCTATGACTGTTACAAGTGAGAACGTTCGTCCCCAGATATGCTATGAACTGCTATGAATGCTATAATACTAGAGTGCTAAGTTGCCTCCCCTTACAATGAAATAAATGCTACTATTTATACCGCCAATGGGTAGTTAGATGCGTTGAACTCAGCTATGGATGACTCGATCCTCAACCACCGAATATTCTGCATTAAATGTGCAAGCATTGGCACGTTCGTCCACATGAGCATTAAATGTGCAACCACCAAATATCTTGTATTAAATGCGCAACCACCAAATATCATGTATTAAATGTGCAACCACCAAATCTTGGCACGTTCGTCCACATGGGCTTGTCTCATATTCCCTGCTAAGTCCGATGTCCTGCGGGGCGTGCATCCCGTGCTGCTCCTGGGCCAAGGTACCTGCTGACGCTATGATACGTACATCCCCTTAGCTTTGGTGTTGCTCCAGGGCCAAGGTACCTACTGACGCTGGGATACGTACGTCCCTTTAGCCTTGGTGTTGCTCCTGGGCCAAGGTGCCCGCTGACGTTGGGATACATACGTCCCCTTAGCCTTGGTGTTGCTCTTGGGGACGTACGTCTCGTGCTATACTTCGGACCAAAGCACATATCTTTCGCTATGTACGTCCTCTGGATGATGGGGAGGTGTATCCCGCTGCCTTTGGCCTTTTGGGGACGTACGTCCCGTTATGTTCTTGGGCTAAAACCTACCTTTGGCTACGTACGTCCTCTGGATGATGGGGAGATGTATCCCGTTGCCTTTGGCCTTCTGGGGACGTACGTCCCGTTATGTGCTTGGGCCAAAGAACCTACCTTTGACTACGTACGTCCTCTGGATGATGGGGAGGTCTATCCCGCTGCCTTTGGCCTTCTGGGGACGTACGTCGCGTTATGTACTTGGGCCAAGGAACCTACCTTTGGCTACGTACGTTCTCTGGATGATGGGGAGATGTATCCCGCTGCCTTTGGCCTTCTGGGGACGTACGTCCCGTTATGTGCTTGGGCCGAGGAACCTACCTTTGGCTACGTACGTCCTCTGGATGACGGGGAAAGGTATCTCGTTGCCTTTGGGCCTTCTGGAGACATCGTAGGATGGGCCTTCAAGGGTTTATGGGCCAACCCCCATTGGGCCATTAACCCAACAACCGATATGGCCAAGCCAAGTCCGGTGAGGGCTACAAGCACGACAAAAAGGTTTGGGCACAACAAGAAGACCTAGGCGCAATCGGTGCTCTTCGACCAACCTTGCACTCCCCTGACTCACTCTCTATCAATCCCAACACGCCATACTGTCGTTTTCATCGCCATGTCGACCACCACACTGACCAATGGCACTAGCTCAAAACGTTAATTGAGCAATTGATAAAGAGTTACCACGGTATTCACCATCACGATCGGGTTTGACTTTCTTTATGCATTTGTTGAGTTGATTTCAACTTCCGCTTTGTAAGATTTAAACACGTCCAAGACTTGAGACTTTTCATGTATAAAAAATAAGTATGCATATTTAGAGTAATTGTCTATGAATGTCACAAAATATTGTTGACCATTCCATGAAGGAGTAGGAAATGTCCCACAAATATCAGTGTGCCTTAGTTCTAAGACATTTGTAGTTGTATATGCTTCCTTTCTCTTATGTTTAGTTTGTTTTTCTTTACTGCACTCATACAAATATTGGAATCTGGAAAATCAATGGAATTAAGTGTTCCATTAGATACAAGACGTTGAATTCTATTTCTATATATGTGACCTAATCGTTTGTGTTATATAAAACTTGACTTGCATTATCAACCTTTCGCTTAATGTCTCGGGTGTCAACATTCAAAACTTCCGTTGAGTTTAGTCCACCATGAAATAGTAAATATAAATATAAATGTGTATAAACAATCGATTTTTACGTGAAAACCCAAAAGGGAGAAAACCACAGGACTTTTTGAGCTAATGTCCAAGCCACTCTCATTCTCATTAGACTCTCCTCACCATTATAATGTACAAACTTAAGCTTCCAATTATGGATGATAAAACTACTCTAGAAAGAAGGAGGTGGAGAGAGGAAGAAGAAACCAACCCCTTACATGGAGGGAAAGCCTCCTGTTTATAGGAAAAGGGGTAGGGGATAAAATCTACCATAATGGGCCGAATGGGCTGAAATGGGTCTCATCGATCGGGCTCCGCATTTGGGTAATATCTTGTACCCCTGAATAGTAGTAAGTCAGAATAATATACATCAATGACTCTATTAAAATTATTTCTCAAAATATACTCAAAGTATTTTATTTAATTATTGTCTAAATAACCGTGCTATTTTGCCGTGAAATTATGGGTGGACTCGGGCCGGATGGCCCGACCCTGAACCGGCCTGGGACCGGCACTGTTCCGGCCCGGTCAGTGACTGGTCCGGTAGGCCCGACCTGAGAGGTTTCCGATCCGGGCTCAGGTGACCCAAAACAAGGCCCGATCCGGGCCCAATTCGGGCCAAATTGATTTTTTTTTTGTTTTTTTTTGTTTGGACTCCACCCGGGTTGGGCTTGATGTTTAGGAGGGCTTTGGGGGGTTAGGAGGTGAGGGGGGTCAGGGATAGGTAGGTAAGCAAAAAAAACTAAGCCCGAGGCCCGGCCCGGACCCGGACGGGACCCGGTGACTACCCGGGCCGGTCCCGGGTCCACCTATTCAGACCCGCCGGCCTGCTCGGGCCTAGGCCCGACCCGGCCCGAATTCATCCCTACATAAAATGGATAGGGCCAGTACCATTAAATAACTCTCAAAAAAAACTCTCATTTCTATAGAATGGAATATCCCGAGTCCGTGAACAAGGAATGTGGTCCTACATATTGCAGTACAAAAAGATGAAAAAGGACATCTTTGTGCTCAAAAAGATGAAAAAGGAATCTTTAACTTAATTGAATGGAATATCCCGAGTCCTGGCCCTATCCATTTTACCTACTCGGCACCCACTACCCACTAGGAATCTGGAATCCTCATCCAAAAGCAGGCTCATATCTGGGAATCTTTATCGAACCGAATCCGTGAAGATCAAGATGTCTGGAACGCAGTGCTGTGAGAATCCGCCCACTTTGAACCCAAGCAGTGGAACTGGGTCTGTGGCGGAGCTGGGTGGCCTCAAGTCCTATATCACCGGCTCTTCCAACTCCAATCTCGCTATCATCCTCGTCTCCGACATTTATGGTCCGTCTGCTTCTCCCCACTATAAATTTTAATGGAATTGTAATCTTTTTTTTTTTGCTTTCACGCTCACTTTTCTTTCGTTTTACCGTTTTTTTGCAGGTTTTGAAGCTCCAAATCTCAGGTATTGTCCATTCTCCTAAGTTGGAATTGACAAGTTGTTCATATCAATCTTCACTTTTTAAATGCTACCCCCTTTCTAGTTTCTACTATAGTTGACACACTATGTCTTTCAGAGAGATAAAGGAAACCAGTATGTATTTGAGGGAGATTAGTAAAAGTAGCAGGAAAAGTATTAAAGTACCTCCGTCCCTAAGATTGTGTATGTTTCTTTTCCAGTTTCTTCTTGTCCATTTTTGTATAGTTCTACACCACTCTTACTTTATTCACCCACATAAAATCGTTTTTCTTAGTAACCCGTGCCATCTCTTCATGCATCAAACTCAGGGGACAGAAGTACGACGAGAAAGTAGACAAAAAGGTTCTATATATAGAAATGGATCTAATAATAAAAAGCTCACAAAAAGGAATATGTGAGTATATGTGCCAACTATTTTAGAAGTGAGAGTCGTTGGGTGTGTTTCGGAAAATAAAGAAAATTAATTAAAATAAATTAATTAAATAAAATGACTAGAGGAAAACAAGAAAGGAGATGAAGCAGAATTAGGCAAAGCTCGTGCTACGCACGATTTCCTTAAAACGTATTTGTTGCCTCTCACGGTGCTAGGAGCGTTGCAACAATCGTTTCCCAGGAAATCGTGCGTAGCACGAGCTTTGGCTAATTCTGCTTCATCTCCTTTCTTGTTTTCCTCTAGTCATTTTATTTAATTAATTTATTTTAATTAATTTTCTTTATTTTCCGAAACACACCCAACAATCCCGCGCAGCCATTTTCGTTCTTTAACGTTTTTCCGAAAACACAAAAATTAAGTTCGTTCACCAAAGTGACAAACTACGTTTTTAGATTGTTTACCGCAGTACAACAACCAAGGCAAATACGTTTTAAGATTGTTGGGTGTGTTTCGAAAAATAAAGAAAATTAATTAAAATAAATTAATTAAATAAAATGACTAGAGGAAAACAAGAAAGGAGATGAAGCAGAATTAGCCAAAGCTCGTGCTACGCACGATTTCCTTAAAACGTATTTGTTGCCTCCCACGGTGCTAGGAGCGTTGCAACAATCGTTTCCCAGGATACGATGACTACGAACTAATGTTTGAGCACACAAACAAGAGTTCCAGCGAACGAGAACCAAGTATGAACACAGAAGGATTTTGGGAGTAGCTGGAAGAGTTTTTAGCTCAAGAAAACGTGAGGAAAGTGATGTGCGTTGTCAAACCGTGTGTTTGTTGCAAAGCACCTGCCAGCTATTTATAGGAGGATTTGTTGTGAGTTAAATGGGGTGTTAATGGACCTGAACGTTGGACATCAATGACCAGTCCGTTGGGCATTGAATCGTCCATAAACTGTCCATTTAACGCTGCATTAAAAGAGAAGAACGTTGGGCATTAATAGTTGTAACGGAAGAAATGCGTGACAGAAGACCCCAACAGAACACCCCTTGGAGGGGTTCTGTCCGAAGCCAACAGAACACCCCTCGGAGGGGTTCTGTCCGTAGCCAACAGAACTCCCCTTGGAGGGTTTCTGTTCGAGGCCTTCTGTCCGAAGCCAACAGAACCCCCTTGGAGGGTTTCTGTTCGAGGCCTTCTGTCTGAAGCCAACAGAACTCCCTTGGAGGGTTTCTGTTCGAGGCCTTCTGTCCGGAGCTCTTCTGGGAAAAAAACGTTCGGGAAGAAAACAAAAATTAACCGTATCTCTTTGAGAAATAGATTTTTGGACGGCATTCGTGTCCGCAGGTCGCCCGCGCACACGAGTCGCGGTTTTTCTTCTCCGTTTCGGGATTTGATCGGCACCCCCCCTGCGCGTAAGAGAGAGCCTTTCCCTTTAGGAATCTTAACTCCTTAAAAGAGGCTTCCCTTTTAAAAGGGGGTGAAAATCCCTTGAGTTTTTCGGTGTGGGATAAAACACACTAGAAACTCATCATTTTCCCAGTTTTTCCATTACAACGAGCGAACTTCGAGAATCAATTTCTCATTCACCCGTTATCCGTTTTGAGCGTACCATATATCGAATTGTAGCCCTTAACAAGGACAATCCGAAACCACTTTGACCCGACCCAAATCGGAAGTGGACCCCACTCAAATAATTGTCCCAAAATGACCATTTAATGCAATTTTTAACACATTTTTCCAACAAGAGTAAATTAGACATCTCAATATCCTTTTCACCTCATCTTTGAGCCTCCATAATAGTAAGTGGAATGACTATAGTTATGTTCAATTGTACATCTGAATGACCAAAATATGCTCAAAACAGCTTTTGTCACATTGTAGTCTATAAGTTCTACAGTATTACATTAATATTTTTGGAAAATCCCCATATATAATAGTTCTCTTCTGAACAAGCATTTTTATCCAGTTCCATTTTGTAGTTAATAGTAATCATCAGATGCAAATAACATGTTCCCTCTGTATCTTAAGATGAATGTTCTCCATGTTATACCTCATCGTTTTGCCTACTGTTTGATTTTTGTTATGCTCTGTAAAATGAAGGGCAATAGCTGAAAAAGTTGCAGCTAGTGGATATTATGTTGTGATTCCTGATTTCTTTTACGGCGATCCATATGTTCCTGACAGCAAGCCATTGGGAGTCTGGATTCAATCACATGGAACAGTGTGTATTCTCGCCTTAACTTGATAAACCTATTTATTCCATTTTGTGATGCTGTAGCCTTTGGAATTGCATGCCACTCAGGAGCAGCTCAAGTGGTGGTCAGGTGTATGAGTGTATCATGTGTTTAATTGACCTGAAAACTGTTCAAACTTACCTGAAACAAAAGAGGGTAAATAAAAAAGAAAAAATTGCCTGGAATATGTTCATGGTGTTTTCTCGTTTTTGCAAGTGGGAGCAATTGATAAACGAATAAATGTACTGAAAGACAAGAACATGATACTAAAGGTGAAACTGAGAAACAAACACATGGAGGGGAGTTTTCCATTTCATTTCTATATATTAAATACTACCTCCGTTCTTAATTAGTTTCAAAATGTTAGAATTTACACTATTCACAATATCTATTTTGACTATATTTTCTTGCTTACTGTTTTAGTAAAATAAATTATAGAAAATATTGTTAAAGTCATCACAATGAAAACTTTTTTTATAATAATTTTCACTAATAGTTATTTAAATATATCAATAGCCGAAGTAGTGTCTTGGCAAACGTGAAAGTAAACATGTTGAAACTAAAAAGGAATGGAGGTAGCACATAACACAAACATACATTAAATACAATTAACAAAAACAAATTATCTAATTTCCTACTTAAGAATGTCTGCTCATAACCTCCTACTTAATACTAACAGCAACAACAAGAGCTGGTGATATACGGATCTATATTCTATAGCAGATGAAAGTTATAGTGTTAAATTAGTAATTACATTTTTTCTAGGAAAAGGGATTTGAAGATACAAAATCTGTTATTGCGGCCCTAAAATGTAAAGGAATTTCTTCAACAGGAGCTGCAGGATACTGCTGGGGTGGTGAGTTCAAACCTCTATTTTGTTGTTTTCTCCTCTTGGGGTTCCCTCACACTCTGACAGCAAAGTTCATTGCAGCTAAGGTGGTTGTGCAATTGGCAGCGTCTGATTTTATTCAAGCTGCGGTTCTATCACACCCATCATTTGTTACTGTGGATGATATCAGGCGTATGATTCTTGACCTTCTTTTGATTAAAGCATGTGCAAATTGAGTAAGCTGTGATCAATCGAATTAGCATTCAGGCATTGGCCTTATAGCATGAAACGTTTACTTTCAGAGGTAAAGACGCCTATTGCTATTTTGGGAGCAGAAAATGACTCTATGTCACCCCCTGAGCTTGTTAAACAATTTGGAGAGATTCTTTCATCCAAACCTGAGGTACGTCCAATTAATATCTTAGAGTCTCGGTGTAGCAGCTTATATATAAGTATATTACCAATAACTTCCAGCGTATTATTGTAATTTATTAATAAACCATGTATTTAAAGAATTAATGCATTTGCATGGAGTTGGGACATGACACTTCAACTACTAGCTTACTCATTGTCTATTCTCTGCTCTCTTTAGTTCTTATTTCTTATTAGAAAAGTAGAAGACAACTTTAAAAACAGTCATTTTTAAAGACACTTTTTAATGAAGTAATTGTAGTTCTTTGTTTTCCGTTACTTTTAAAACACCAGTCTGAAATTAGAATACCATAAAACTTTTAAATAAAATGAACAACTACTTGTTGTTTTTAAGGGACCGCTCTTTGGTTTGTGTGATTTGGCCAATTGAATCTAAAACGGAGTATGATAAGGTCCTTAGGAAGTAATTGTTGCTACTTGTATCAGTACTGTTTGGATAAAAGTGAGACAAGTGTGTGAGAAAAGGATCTTGATATGTGCCAGTTTTGTCAACTTGTCTGTTTTTGTATGTATGTGATTATTATTCAATTTATTGAATTAATTAATTAAAAGGTTTATTCACGAAGACAGGTGGATTCCTTTGTGAAAATCTTTCCGGGGGTTGCACATGGGTGGACAGTGAGGTACAATGTCGAGGATGAGAAAGCAGTGCAGAGTGCTGAAGAAGCTCGTCAAGACATGTTGAACTGGTTTACCAAGCACATCAAGTGAATGAATCCTCATCAGACTCGTATGGACATTATTGTAGAAGAGAATCTGAATAAACCACATGCTGTTTCTGTGCTCAGAACCATGTCTTGCCATGTATGTCATCGTGTAGTTGTTAGCACAATCAAGTATTTCGAACAATGTATGGCGTGTGTGGTTTTGCATTATATATCGAAGTTGCTTAGATGCTGTTATGGAGCAGCAGTTTCTGTTGCCTCGTTACTTTCAAGAAGTGCAGCCATTAGGTGTTGCAGGAAGGAATAACAATGCGGTGAGATATTTGGTAGTTGGTACTTGCATGTAGTTTTTGCTTTAGAAATTTCAGCAAAAATGGGTAACAATGGAGTCATGTTTGGTACATCGCTAGTGTTTGAATATTTTTTTGGGGTAAAACAGTATAAAAGATGAAAACGAGTTTTAAACACCCTCTTCCAGTCATCTTTATCCCATGATCCTGGTTTTAGTTTTAGAGTTGAACGGAAGACCAATTATCCCATGATCCTGGTTAACCAAACAGAAAATTTTATACCCCATAATATTTTACGACGTACTAAGTTTATTTCAAGTACCGATACTATATTTTATTTTATAACATTATACTACGTATTTACATCCCGTTTCGTAATACCAAAAATTGTCTAACTGCTGAAATTTATATAATTCTGGTTGAAGTGGCTGATTCCAATGATTTATGAAAAAATTATATTTAAAATATACAAGTATATTATTCATAAAATAAAGGAAAAATGATATGTAAAAATAGCTAAAATGATTCTCTACAGTAACTTCTGTCAATACAATCAGAAAAAGTACTTTTTCTTATTATTACACAATTCAGTGTGTAAAATCAAAAGTTACATGTTTGGTGAAAAGTTGGCTAATAAGTCTGATAAGCCGAAAAACTAGGTTATCAAACGGGCTCTTAGTATAGCCAAATAATTTTCATGTATCCATATAATTAAAAAATAGTCATATCTTCTCTAAAAAACAAAATCCCCAAACAACAATGTAATATTTTCATGTATCCATCCTTAACTTTTGAAATTTAAGGATGATAATTGATAAGTTAACTTTTTCTCAACAATATTGCAATTGACACAAATTTAAAATTAATATATTTCAAAAAAAAGGATGACACCCATCTTTGAGACTCCAAGAATCACATTACAATTATCTGATAAAAATTGAGTTTTGATCACACTGATAAAAAGAGAGTTAAGTTTCATTACAAGTCGTTGCTTGGAAGTGAACCTGGAACCTCTCCCTTGTGTTACATCTTTCTACCAGTTGAGCTACATCCTCGGCAAAAAATTAATGCAATGTATACTTCAAACCAATATTAAAAGTTATATCCAATCATAATAACTAATTTCAATATAATAAAAAAATCAATAAAAAAATTAGAAATAAAAAGTGATATTAAAAAAATCAATTAATGAGAAGTGATTAGAAGACCAATACTATTACTTTGGGAGGTTGTATTTTCTAGAATCATTTTTATAAGGGAAAACTGTCAAATAAGTTCTTGTACTATATCAAAAAAGTCGATTAAACCCTCCAACTTATAAAATACTCAATTGAATCCATAAACTATTAAAAACCTTCCAATTAAACTTTTTAGTAGGTGTACAGCCGGTTTCCGGTTAACTCTGCACATGTGGCGTGCCACATGTTATTTTTTTATTTTTCCTTTATTTTTCTTTCTTTTTTCTGTTTGCTTTCCTTTTCTCTTTTTCTTTTTTCTTTTCCCTTTATTTTTCTGGTTCCCATCCTCCCAGAGACCTAGACTTCCCCATTCTTCCCTAGGTAGCACCAGGACGGAAACAGAAACGGAAACGGGGACGCAAGCGGGGATGGAGAAACGCTAAACTCAAAATATCAGGAAACGGGTACGGCAAGGAAACGTCAAACTAAAAATTAATTTTTTTAGTAATATAAGTAATGCATATGTCTAACAACCCATAAAATAATTAAACAAAACATACATCCCTGTTATAATCCATTCTACAAGCACAATAAATAAAATTTAAAAAGCACTACGTAAATGTTTCATTCAGTGATAAATACTCTCTCCAATTCCGGCTCATCTAAGGATAAATTAGCAAAGTCCAAATAGTCCATTTCTTTCAAATTGCCGAACTCGTCTCCTCCAACATCCCATATCTTGGTCTTCTCATCTGCGTATTGCTCAGAACTCCTTGACAAGAGGCGAAGGTTGTTGTGCACAAACACCAAATCTTCAGCACGCTTAGGAGTTAAATTGTTCCGCCTAAGTGAATGAATAAAAGAGTAAGTACTCCAATTACGTTCCCATGATGATGAAGATGTAGGCTGACCAAGAACTCTAAAAGCGAGCGTTTGTAGGATTGGTGTTTGAGCACCAAAGTTAGCCCACCAACTTTTAGGATCCGTGTTTCCCTTCTTTGAAAGAGATGTAATACCTGCAAAAGGCCCTGTCTTAAGTGAAAGCGAAGCAAACTCCTCCAAAACCATATCGTAATCATCACCATTTGGAAAGAGCCTTCGGAAGCATTTCATCCTTTCTTGGGAGATCTCACCATCCCTATGACGAGGGACCCTAGCGGGATCCGCAGCAAGCCAAACTTCACTAAAAACCTATTACAAAAATAATAAAAACCAAACTTTAATAAATAAATATAAAAAAAATAATATATCATGTTTAACTAATAATGATACCTTGGGTTCCATGAATAGGCTAAGCAGTGAAGCGGTGTAGAACTCTTTGCCCAACGTGCCACAAGAATATTGTATACTACTTGGTAGAAAGCACTATACTCATCGAGAGACTTTCCTTCATGCTTATAGATTTCCGCTTTGACTTTTTCAATCATGGAATCCCACATCTCATATACCAAACGGAGGCACGCCCTATCAGTATCACATGCTCGAATCATACTATAGATGGGATCCGAGAAAGCAAGAATATAATCAATTTGCTTCCCACCAATTCTCACTTAAAATCTTCTCCTTCACAAACCTTGTTTTGCCTTGGTCATCCTCAATATATGATGCCCATTCATCACTCAACACCATAGCCTCTAGACCACGTCTAATAAGCTTAAACCTCTTAAGCATCACAATTATAGAAGCAAAACGTGTGTCCGCCACAGAAAGTAATTTAAGGGAGATGAATTTGTTGAACATGGATAACATCATAGTATGATTCCTGATGAAATTTTTTATGTGAACAGCATCACCATGGATTTCAGTGATCCAATGGCATTCATCATAAACTTTTGTGTTATTCTCCACATTCTTTGCAGCACATATATGTTCTTTAAGGGAAGATTTAAAGTATGCACTACACAAGGTGTCCAATAGATGTGGGGATACATACCTTCAATGATATCTCCTGCACCCTTGCAATTCGCAGCATTATCAGTGATTACCTGCACCACATTTTGATGACTCATCTCATCAATTACTTCTTTCATCAAATTAGCAATGAATTCTTTGGATTTAAATTCACCCATACAATTCACTGCTTTCAGAAAACATAGGACCACTTCCAGAAGTTTCCATAAAGTTAATTATAGGTCTTCTTTGCGGATCACTCCAACCATCAGTTGCAACCGTCACTCCTCTTTCTGGCCAAGTAGCTGAGTGGTTGTAATAACCTCTCAACATTTGCCTTCTATTGTTGAAGTAAAGAAGTTCTTACATTATTATAACCTGGGGGACATAACCTCCTAAATTATGATTGGCAACAAAGGAAAAAGCTCTCACATAAAATGGATTCCTAACAAGATTAAATGGCAACCCTTCAGTAAAAAACATCCTAGCAATTTCTTCATCTAATCTCCCTCTAGCATCCATATCAAAAGCTTTCTCCAACGGACTAATACTAGCTTTTCTTTTATTAGGTAAACTAGTATTACTTATCCAATCCGTTTGTGATCCCGCTGAAGGTAAAGGAACATCTTTAGGTGCAGATTTTTTTTTTAATTTTCTAAACTTCTTCTTCTAACTTTTTCTTCTCACGAATATCATTAGGTTGGACCTTATTGCATATAGCAATTCCTTGTTTTGAAATTTTAAGCAAGTGAGCTCTTACTCTAAAATAAGATCCTTGTTTTATGCTATTACAGAAATTACATTGGAATCTCCATATCCCTCCTGTATCAACACTTTTACCTAATTTGGTAACAAATTTCCACAAAGGTAAGGTTCAATTAAAGTTTTTTTTAATTCTTTGCAGAAACGCGTCGGCCCAAGCCCAGCGCTGTTTCCGAAACATTTCCCAACCTGACCCAACAGCCCAACATCTTAGAAACGTTTCCCGACGTTTCCATAACGTTTCACGGCGTTTCACGTTTCCGAAACGTTTCCGGGACGGAAACCTCCCCCCAGTTCATGTTTCCGTGCTTCCTAGATTCTTCCCCATTGTTCTCCATCTCCCCATCTTCCCAAGACTTCCCAATGATCACCCCTCTTTCTCTTTGTCTTTGTTTTTCTTTTTTCTTTCGCCCTTTCTTAATTTCTTTCCATCGTGAGTTCGCCGGAAATCCCAACAAGAACAGCCACTTTTGGCTTGGGACTTTTGGTACGAAGGAAGAAGCTGCCAGGTCTCACGATAAAGTGGCCAAGGAGTTTTGAGGAACAAAGGCCAAAACAAATTTTCCTGTGTCGACAGATCTCACTTTTGCTTCTCAATTTGAGCCTAAAACAACAGGGACGAATCGCCACAGTCCAAGCTAGAGCAGTAGAGTTAACTCTCTTCCTGTTCGCATAGAGAGGAGCTTCGCTGGAATTGCCGACATCACCAAAGTTCGCCGGAGATCCCGGCAAGAAAGAGCCTCATTTGTATGGGGACCTTGGATATGGAGGAGGAAGTCACCAGAGCTTACGACAATGAAAAATCAAAGAGAAAAAAAGAAAGAGAAATAAAGCAAAAAGAAAGTCACTGGATGTTGCTTGCCACGTATGCAATTAACTAGGAAACCAGTTGTATACCTGTTAATAGTTCAGGGATCTAATTAGGGATGGACTCATGGACCGGTTCCGGTTCGGGTCCGGTTCGGGCCTGGGCCCAGCCGGGCCTCGGTTCATGAAGGGGAGGCCCGGAACCGGCCCAGGTAACCCCCGGGTCCGGGCCGGGCCTCGGTTCTATTTTTTTTTTTTTTTTGGCTTTTCCTAGTTAACCCTCCCCCTCACCCACAAACCAACCGTAACCACCTCAAATGGCCCAAAATACTCAACCCAACCCAAAAACTTAAAAAAAATCAAAAAAAAAAATTGGCCCAACCCGGGCCCGAATCGGCTGGGCCGGTTCACCTTTTGAAGGGCCCGAGCCCGAACCGACATCCCACCTGGCCAGGGGCCCGAACCGGCCAACCAACCGGTTCACCGGGCCGGTCCGGGCCCGCACAATAGCGGGCCGGTCCGGTTTCAAGCCAGTTGGCCCAGCCCGAGTCCACCCCTAGATCTAATTGGGTGTATTCAAAGTAGAAGAGTTTAATTGACCTTTTGGATATAGTTAAGACCTGATTTGACAATTTTCCCTTTTATAAAGCAATTCATATTGTGCAACTTTCAATTTTCACAATAATATACTACGTAATACGTGGTATGACGTAGTACATTTCTTTGTCATAGCCTCATAAGAGGTGTTTGGAACTGTTTATTCTTCTACTTCTTTTTAAAGCAGAATCAGAATCGATTATCAAAAGCTCGTCTCCCCTAATTTCTAAAAAATTGATTCTAGGAGTAAATTAGACTTTCACCCAAACATTCCAACTTCTGCTTCTGATCACTGAAGAAGCAGAAGCATTTTTAAAAATCAGATCCAAACACCCCATCTATTTTCGTTGCCGGTATATATGTATATGCGCCATCTATTTTTGGATGGCGCCCTATCACTCAAACACTCAGCAGAGGCAACTGGCAACCCAAAAAGGATGAGTATTAGCGAGTTCTGATACTTGTTTGGTCAATGATGCTCTATACAATGTGCATACGATAATTTTAAAGCCAGCACATCTAATACAAACATATACTACGTATATGCTCTACATGGATGACGCCTAAACCAACCAATGCGAGTCCTAAGATATGGTAACCCAACAAGTTAGGGTGACCGGCGAGGAAGGCCATTGCAGATCCAAATCAGGTGTCTGGTATCCAGAGGGAAAAAATAACCTCTATTTCACGGCATGTCTGCAAAAGAATAATTAAACAAGAAGAAAGGACACAGTTAGAGACTTTTACAGTCTTCTAAAAATCTAAATATCTAAAAATCAATACTTTGAAAATCTAATACTACTATAAATTAATATTTGACTAATTTATATTCCAATGGAGTATATAAAATTAATTTTGTATGATAAATAATGTAAATTATGAATAATTAACGGTCAAAGTTTGTAAAGTTTCAAAAGTGCAAGTGAGAACTTAATTCTGGAACGGAGGGAGTACATATATACAGAGCGCCAATAAGAGAAAGATAGAAAACCGAAGGCACAAAAGAACTGGAACTTTACATTGACTGATGAATCCAATTGGTCCGCTATAATCTCTGCTTCACACGCCTACCATTGACATCACTCCCATCTTGGACACCTTCATTTAACAGTTTGGTCGTGACCCCACCAACATGCTCACCCACCCTAGCTACATACTCCAACATTTCTGTCAAGATCCTAGGACAGCTTTCTTTCAAGTATTCAAACCCATCTGTCTGCATAACAGCTGCAAAATAGTATATACATACGATCTGAGTTCCGTCATTAACAGAGACCTCACACTTGTGCAAAGAGAGATTTTAAAAATTCCCACCTAAGCGACCCCCACTCCCATAGACCATTCTAGTAAGAACTAGGTCTGCGACTGACCTTGTGTTTTCTAGAACCATGCTATTTGGATGGAAAGTTCGGAGGGGAAGGGGTTTGAATGCCTAGTCTACATGTTGTTGAATAAAAAAAATCTAAAAATGGAAAGAATATTATTGAAATTTATACGATCACTATGTTAAACGATCAGATTGACAATATTTCAAAATAAAAGATTTAGTGTGATAAATTTGTATTCACTCAATTTTTAGGGATATACTATCGTATTTATAATCATAACCATATATGATTCTCATTATTTGAAAACAAACACATCTTTTCCCGCCCCAAGTAAATACTCCGTACAAAATAATGGCTTAAATAGGTTATGAGTGATCATTCCACATATAAATATAAACATCCGGATGGACAGGAGGCGCTGTCCGACTGCCGTCGTTTGGGGCGGTTCGCGGTGCATTTTGTTGATGAAATTTTTGAGCATGCTCCTCATCAGATCTAGTTTATCCACAAAAAATTAAGGCAAAAATTCGATCGGGAAGGCAGTCAAATAAATTTTTGAAAATAACTGCGTTTTATATGTATAATTTGGCGCAATTATCTTCAACAAATTATTTGACTTTCTTCTCGATCAAATTTTTGCCTGAAATTTTGTAGATAAACTAGACTTGATGAGGAACATGCTCAATAAATTTCATCAAAAAGTTCTACCGGAACCCGCCCCAAACGGGAGGGTCCTGTCCCTCCGACTGGACATGATCATTCCTCCAGATATATATATATATACGTGTGTGTATATATGTATGTAGAGCAAGCCCGCAAAGAGTTCCTTTACATTGAAACATACCTCTAAGGTTTTCAGGCAACGCAATGAATTTGAGACAAACACGCTTGAGCTGGAAACAATGATGTTGTTCAGCTAATGCTAAAGTTGTTGCAACCGTATTGATTGCAACACCCTCACATAAATTAGCTTCACAAAGCACCCTAAGCCTGTCTAGACCATACCGATCAGAAGCTGCAAGCAGATGTTGAGTCATCAATGTTGAAGCCCACATCGAGTTCAAACCCGTAATTTCTCCCATATCTGGTAACGCATCCCAGTATATAAAATGCAACAAAGCCTGAAAATATATGGACGGATATGTTCTATTATGCATACACAACATATTTGTAAAGCTGCTTTTGAAAGAGTTATTGAAGGATGTGAGCAAGTATTGTTGTATTTCATATACTTGATATTAAAATGCTATACAAGAAGCTATATTTATAGCTATATTTAGAGTACTAGGGTTTCCTATACAAGATATACAAATGGGTTAAGCCCAATACTACTAGGATTTCCACACTCCCCCTCAAGCTGGAGCATATAAATCATATGTACCAAGCTTGTTACAAATATATCCCACTCTAGGACTTCTAAGAGACTTGGTTAAAATATCTGCAAGTTGTTCAGTTGTGTTGACATATTTTGTGATGATATGTCCACTCGCGATCTTCTCTCGGATAAAGTGACAATCAACTTCAATATGTTTTGTCCTCTCATGATATACCGGATTTGATGCGATGTGCATTGCAGCTTGATTATCACACATGAGTTGAACCGGTTTTGTGTTTCCATATTTTAACTCTGGGAGGAGATGCTTCAACCTTAAGATTTCACATGTAGCAAGGGTCATTGCACGATATTCTGCTTCAGCACTAGATCTGGCAACCGCATCCTGTTTCTTACTTTTCCATGAAATTAAGTTTCCATCAATCAAGATGCAATATCCCGAAGTGGAACGTCTATCCATCGAACATACGGCCCAGTCTGCATCACAGTATCCCACAATATCATGGTCGCCTTGATCTTCAAACAACAATCCTTGCCCCATAGTTTTCTTGATGTATCTCAAAACTCGGATAGTTGCATCCCAATGTCCAGTACATGGCTTATCAAGAAACTGACTAAGAACACTTACCGCAAATGAAATATCTGGTCTCGTGATGGTAAGATAATTCAATTTGCCGATGAGTCTTCTATATTTTTCCTTGTTGGGTAAAAGATCTTCCTGTTCTGATAAAAGTTTAACGTTCGGATCCATTGGTGTATCCACTGGCTTGCAATCTAGCAAACTTGTTTCCTCAAGAATATCCAAAGGCATACTTTCTTTGTGAGAGAGCAATTCCATTTTGAGACTGTGCGACCTCAATGCCAAGGAAGTATCTCAACTTTCCCAAGTCTTTTGTTTGAAATTTGCTAAAGAGATGTTGCTTGAGGAGCGCAATTCCTTGATCATCGTTACCTGTAATGACAATGTCATCAACATACACAACAAGATAAATACATTTGTTGCCAGCAGAATGTCGATAGATTATAGAATGATCAACATCACTGCGAATCATGCCAAAGCTGCAGACAATGACACTAAACCTCCCAAACCATGCACGTGGAGATTGTTTCAAGCCATATAATGAACGACGTAATCTGCACACCATACCAGACTCCCCCCGAGCAACAAATCCAGGTGGTTGCTCCATATAAACTTCCTTGTGCAGATCTCCGTGAAGGAATGAATGCATTTTTAATATCCAATTGGAACAATGGCCAGTGGCTCATTGCTGCCATGGATAAAACCAAACGAACTGATGCAATCTTCGCTACAGGAGAAAAAGAAAGTGTCAGTGTAATCCAAACCATATATCTGAGTATACCCTTTCGCCACAAAGCGTGCTTTAAAACGATCAATCTCCCCATCAGGCCCAACTTTAACTGTGTAAATCCACCGACATCCCACCACTGATTTGCCACTGGGAAGGGGGACTAAGTCCCACATCCCACTAGAATGAAGAGCCTCCATCTCAGCCAACATGGCTTTACGCCATTCCGAGTGTGTCAGTGCCTCGAGTGTGGTTTTAGGAATGCATATATGAGACGGGTGGAAAATAAGAGCATAATAAGGGGTAGAGAGGCGGTGATAACTCAAGCATAATAAGGGGTAGAGAGGCGGTGATAACTCAAAAAGTTATATATGGGATGTGGATTCGAAGTAGAACGCGTACCTTTTCGGAGGGCAATGGGTAAATCATCCTGAGTAATTTCGGGTACTGGGGTATCTGATGGTGATGGTGCGGGATCCGTCATAGGGGATTCAACTGGCGTGGCCACAATGGGCACAATGGGAGGAGGTCGAGGACGTCAATGGTATACTTGTAATGGAAGGTCTGCCATAGGAGAGCAATTTGGGTGCTCATCAGATGGGGGGTAATGGGAGTCTCCAGATGGATGGGTCGGAGATATGAGGTGAAGTCCAAACATGATGGGGTATCAACTGAAGATAATGGATAATAAAAGGACGACTCAATGAAAGTGACATCGGCTGAAATAAAATGTTTCTTAAGTAATGGAGAATAACAGCGATATCCCTTTTAGAGTCACGAATATCCAAGAAAGATACATTTTATTGACCTAGCCGACATTTTAGCTAATCCAGGTGTCGTATCATGGACAAAACACACACCCAAACACATGAGGTGGTAATGGAAATAAATCATGAGCAGGAAACAAAATAGAATAGGGAATTTCATTGTTAAGAATTGAGGAAGGCATTCTATTGATTAAATGACACGCAATGAGCACAGCATCTGCCCAATACTGAGGTGGTGTATGGGAATGTAATAATAGGGTACGAGCAGTATCAACCAAGTGTCGGTTCTTGCGTTCAGCAACCCCATTTTGTTGAGGCGTGTGAACACAAGAGGATTGGTGAAGCATACCCCGTGATGCCATGAATTGATTAAAGGATGCACCAAAAAAAACTTTAGCATTGTCACTGCGTAAAATTTTGATAGAATGACCAAACTGAGTTTGAACTTCAGCACAAAAAGTTTGAAAAATATGAAACAATTCAAAACGCTCTTTCATTAAAAACAACCATGTGTAACGGGAAAAATCATCCACAAAAATAACAAAATAACGGAAACCTAAAGTAGAAGTGACTCGATACGGACCCCATACATCTGTATGAACTAAATCAAACGGTGATGTAGCCTGTTTATTGACTCATCTTGGAAAGGATTTACGAGGTTGTTTTCCAAGGTGACATGACTCACAATCTAAAGATGAAAGATTTGAGAAACCTGGAACCATACGTTGAAATTTTGAGAGACTAGGATGACCCAGACGGTTGTGTAAGGTAATAGCAGGTTCAACTGAAACACAAACAATTGGATCGAAGAGGATGGAGATGATACAGACCTTGAGATTCATGGCCGACGCCAATCGTTTTCCCCGTACAACGGTCCTGCACAATCACAGAATCAGCAGAAAATGTTACGGAACAATTAAGAGCACGTGTAATTTTAATGACAGAGACAAGGTTAAAAGGGGTGTTTGGGACATATAAGACTGAGTCTAATGGTAAGGATGAAAGTGGAAGTGATTGCCCAATACCCGAAACCGAAGTTTGAAGGCCATTAGCAAGAGTAATCAAAGGAAGATGTCGGTGCTTGGTAATATGGGATAAAAGATGGGGATTACCGGAAATATGATCTGAGGCACCAGAGTCAATGATCCATGAGCCTGTTGTGTTTGAAACACAAGCGGTAGACATCCCGTGTGTGGATAAATGCATATTAGCCAACTTAAATTGCTGAAATGTTGCATATTCTTCTGGCGATAAACAATGGGAGATGGTGGTAGCTGAGCAACATGGGCGGAGGGACGAGGTCTCCCATGTAATTGCCAACACCTGTCTTTAGTATGACCAATTTTATGACAAAAATCACATTGACGACGATTCCATCTTGAGCATCCGGTGTTGTTTCCTATGTCAGAACTCATAAAAGACATACTTTTTTTCTCCGTCAGAACTCAAAATTGAATTAGCATCAGGTTTTGCTAATCCGATTTTTTTCTCTTTTTTTTACATTTTTTTTTGAAGAGTGAAAAGCTAATATTAGCAATACAAATGAGAAATCAAAAAATAAATAAAAAACTACTGAGGGGATCAATGCTTCAAGGCAGTAGAACTCATGGAGAAAGCTATTATTTGCAGCAGTTTAAATAATAGAAAATTTAAAGTAATGGAGTAGTAACTTCCCAAGACAGCAGCTGGAGTGTGTTGACCAAGACCTTCACTGGACTGCTGGGAAGATGAACAGTAGAAGCAAATCAGGGAGTATGAAAACCAACCTTTGTCCGGGAGCGACGAAACAAAGCAGCGGCGGAAGCAGTGCGTACGGACAGCGGCGGTGTGTGGATGACGCCAGATTTGGGCGTCGACGGCGGCGGCGCGTGGGCGGACAGTGGCGCGTGGACGGTCAGCGGCGGCGCTACCCTAAACTATTCTGGTCGCCGGAATATCAGTATTCTGGAGTGGTTGGTGGTGTAAACAGCAGATGAATAGAAAGACAGAGATCTACAATAACGTTCTACTGCATATGCGAACTGCAGCGGCGCGTGGATGAGGCGGCGGCGGTGATTTTCACGGTGGTAAGTCGCGATGTTGAGGTGAAGATGACGGTAGGTTTATATCACTACTGAAAGCACGACATACACGACAATTATTCACGCCGGAATTTCTGGGCGAAGAGATTCTGCCTGGAATTTCTGGCCAACTGACAGATAATAACACTAACTAATTATATTTGCCATAGTGGCTCTGATACCATGTGAACAAGTATTGTTGTATTTCATATACTTGATATTAAAATGCTATACAAGAAGCTATATTTATAGCTATATTTAGAGTACTAGGGTTTCCTATACAAGATATACAAATGGGCTAAGCCCACCCAATACTACTAGGGTTTCCACAAAGGACATATATGTTGCGTTAATTTCGACCAAACTCACCCCAAAAGGAATTACAGATCTTCCAGAGGTGAGTATTTACCATACTTGTCACGGCGGTAAGTCGAGTCGCGGCACCAGCTGACCGCCATATCGCCTAGGCGACAATTAGGCGACTAGTCACCTATATGTGTATATTATATATTTATATTATATATTATATATATAATTATATATTTACATATATAATTATATATTTAATTATATATTATGTATAATATATTACTAACTAAAATGTATACATAACTTAGAATTGAAATCCACAATTAATAATTAAAACAACTAAGTAATATTGAAAATATTAATTTTTGTAAAAGGAAATAATGTTAAATAATAACATTTTTTCTAAAAATCTGAATATTAAATAGTAAATAATGAACTAATGTCTTGTTTCAAAAATAAACAATGACTCACCAAGTAGCAACTCATTAGTCATTATGAGAAATCGAGAAGCTACTGACTTGGTTTTTATGAGTGCAAAAGTTGAGTGCTCCATCAAATAGACTAATTTTTAGATATTGAAAATTTGAAACTATTAGACGAGAAATCGAGAAGAGAGCTGAACGCCTGAACTTGGGAAGTCGTCTGCTTCAGCGGGGGACAAGGCAGAGAGGGCGATCTGCGAGACCTCTCCTCTTCTTCCTGGAGTTCTGGGAAGTCGTCTGCTTCAATGCTTCGTACTTCGTAAGTTTATTAATTAAGGAATAACGAGTAGATTATTTTGGGGCTTTGGAGCCTGGGCTTTATAGTTAATTAGTTTCCAAAAATTAGTTTACTAAAATCTATTTTATTTCACATTTGGGATTCTGGGCCTCGGGATCTGGGCTTGCGATCGACTTGGGAAAAAGGCGCCGACTTGTCGCCTTCATCGCGCCTGGACGACGCCTGGACGACGCCTGGCGCGCCATTTGTTCTTCCGGCGAGGCGAGTAACTCCGGCGACCTGTCCCCAGCGCCAGGACGCCTAGTCGGCGACTAGGCGACGCCTAGGCGACGCCGTGACAACTGACAAGTATGGTATTTACCACACATTAATAAGGTGAGTGTGTGTCTCATGTTCATATTTTACACTTAAACAAAGTTAACAGCTGATAGGGGATACTAAACACCTTCCCTCAACCCCAAACAAGTTGAACAACAAATGGGATGGACAAGTGGGTCCTAATTGACCCCAATAGGCTGCGAAGTCATCCCACAACCCACCATAGATATGGCATTATGATGAATGGGACCCTAGGACCTCAAAAGAATGAACAAAATGTGATGGTTACAACACATTTATTACTATGACAGTATGACTACATAAAATAGACAATTGACAGAATATGCTCCACAAACAGCCACACAGGTTGAAATGTTGAGTAGCTTCAACATAAAATTTTCAAAACAGATTAATAGCTATATTAGAATATCAGCCAAGAGATAAATTTTTAGAAATGTGAAGAACCTTAAAAACAGGGGCCTCCATATCCTCAACTTTAATGTTTGTCTCCCGATCCTTCATTGGACCAAAAAGTTGTGCTCTAAACACAGGTGAGCGAGCAGCGAGTACCAACTTGTGGGCCTCAAAGGTCTCTCCATTAACTTCAAACCTCACATTGGTGCCCTTTCCACTTTCCAGAAGCTGCCCAAAGTGCAAGCCAATGTCTGAGGGTGGCACTGATATAGAGTAGGTCTTGGGTCCCTCCGTGTGAGACCTGACAACCCCAACACAACAATGAATCTGAAGGCAATCATCCTTCAGGTAGTCTGATGATTCAAGAGCACTTCTTTTGAAAAATCTTTTATAACCCCTGCAGCAGTTATAAAATTCAAGATTTATTACGTCATTCAAAGAGTAAGTTTGAATGGAACATTCTATGACACGACTAACCAGGTTCACACTTGTAAACACACAATAGGGATGACTGATCTGGCATATAAATATTATCGGTGTCAAATACATGGTCCCATGTTATTTATATCAATGTCTATAACTCTACAAGTCAATGAAAATACTGGGAAAGTTATTTGGAGTAAAACATAGCGCAATGTTTGAAGGAAAAAAAATTGAGGAGAAATAAACAATACTAATTTATATTCTAACTCAATATAGTTATTTTAGATATTTTTGCACACTCCATTTGTTTTTCTATTTCTATTATTACTACTAAGAAATCTAAATCTAAAGATGCAAAAAAACATATTTCATTTTGATTTGAATGAGTTTCCAAAAGTATAGGGAAACATTCCAACAATGGTTCATTTGGAAGAAACGGCAACCATTTGTACACATCAAAGAAGACATAAAAAACAAATCAAACGAACACCTAATCACGAAAATGAAAAGAACACTTCATAAAAAATGGATGACACCTCATCCCCTAAGGCCCCCAGGATCGACAAGAAAGATATCTGAGAGAAGGTAAATTGAGCTTTGACCACAATTGATTGAAAGAGAGTGGGGTTCATACAAGTTTTTGCTTGGAGTTGAACGCGAGACTTCTCCCTTGTGGCACTCTCTTCTTCCTATCAGGTGAGTTAAGCCCCCAGTTGAAAAGAACACTTCATAATATGACCGGATGTAGTAATAAAGGGGGAGGTACTCAATGTTTTAACCATTAACATCATAAGTTGCATATAATCGGGATGGATATAGCATCATATTCTTGCACGGATTCACGTGAAAAGGTTCTCAATCTTCTTAAAATTTTCACTCAAGTCAAACTTACACATTAAGGGCACATTTACTTTCTCAATAATGATGGTATGTTAATCTGTAAAAATACAGGGAAAAATAATTTCAATGAAACTAACCACATGCTTCCACGATATTTGAGAGAGTAAGGGCCGGTATCCAAAGCCCTACCGAAATGGCTGTGAACCTTATGCCTCTCCTTGCCGCTCTGGTCAATAAGAGACAATTCAAAAAGCGCCCTTACATCCTCCCCCTCACTCGCAAGTGCAATGAATAGAGACACGTATGAACCATTATCCTCCACACTCTTCCCGTCAGGATAGAAATAGATAGCCCACGAGAATCCGCCCACCTTGAACGTATCGGAAGCTATATACTTCCCGATTCCCATCCCCTTCGACAAAGAATATCCAGTTATCCTGAAATCATGTGATCCGTTTACCGTGTCGGTTATTGATGTTGACGTAGTTACAGGTAGCGACGAAGAAGGTGAAAGCCTGTCATTGTCAACCCTTCCCATGCTAGATATCAACCAAATTTTGGACAGTTAGTATTAAGTGCCACCCAATGCTCCCGATTTGGAGTTCAATTGCTGTAATAACGATCGAGTGGTTACGGAAATCAGATCCACGGTACAAAACGAAATTCAAATGAATTTGAAAAATACAGCCTGAGATGTAGGGTAGATCAGAAGACAGTAAGGAGGCAGAAGAAATCTAGGGTCGGAAAACACGAATTTCTGGGTGCTAGCCGGACCCTAAATTTCTACTGTTTCGGCACGAAAGGAGAAGACGAAGACCAAGCGGAAGGAGAGAAGAACAGAACGTCTATAAAGATTGGGTGGGCCGATGATTGAATTGACTCTTTAATTATTACTATGAGTGGGCGAGCAGCTACGTGTCCATATAAAAGTCCATGAACAATATCAATTTGTCAAATAGGTTTTATGTGGGATAGACATAAAACCTATTTAAAACATACGGCCTTTAGTTAAAGTGGATGCTTACCGACAAGGAGGATGTAAATTGGACTTTATCACAATTGACAGATAGAGAGTGAGACTCTAGCTTTGGTACACATTTTTAAATAGTACTATCTCATCCTAATTTGATGGTACCTGTTCTTATTTTGAAAGGGAAAAATTAACTTTCATTCATGAAATCAATGTTTAGTACATGAGAAATAAAACTAGGAGAACAATCATTCCAACAAATACAATCAGAAAAAGAACATGCAATTTTAGCCAACTCGTGAGCCGCCCTATTCGTTGATCGTTTAACGTGAGAAAAAGAGATGTTGGTAAAGCACGACATAATCTCTCGAATGTCACCACCAATAATCCCCGCTAAAGAAATACATGATTCCTGCACAACCTCCGAAACAGCCCCCAAGGAATCCGACTCCACATCCACAAAATTCCAACCTTTACCTTTGACCCAGCTCAAAGTTTCACGAATACCAATCAACTCCGTTTCCAGTGGCGACAATATACCTTGCCAAACCTTAGAAACCCCTGCAACAAAGTCCCCGAAGTCATTTCTAACAATCCAACCAAGACCCGATAGCGTATTCACTTGGTGACACAAATCACTCTTAATCTCTTACTTTATATAACAATTTTTTATCAAATTTGATTCTTCTTTTTGCGACTTTGTAAAACTTTTAATGTAGTTTCTGAAAATGTAATTTTTTTCCTAAAAATAATTTGAGTGAGGACAGGGATCGGTTTGTTTTATCGTCGATCAAACATCGTAAACCGCAATGATATCATCACATTGGGACGGAGGTAGGAACCTCTTATCGCAGTTATTGGGATGCGAACTTTTTGGAACCTCAATGAAAATACCATTGAGTATGTGGTAAATTTATTTGGAGTAAAACACAAGGGTTGTTTATTTTTTTCTATTAAGTCTTATCTCGATTAAGTTGTATGTCTGAAATAAGATACATGTCTGAATTAAGTGGTGTTTGTGTATGATGTTGTTTACTTTATGTGCTAAATAAATAGTCTGAATTGAGCAAAATAATCATTATATTACGGAGTATTATTCTTAGCCTATAATGTAAATGAGAAAATTCATGACCGAAAAGACGTCTTAATGCAAATGACTACCATTTTCTAAATTAGGATGTGTTTGGGAGTTGATTTTTTGCAGGGAGGAGAAAACATGTGGTGGTTGATGATCCTCCTATTTGTGTTTAGGAGTTTTAAAATGTGGAATATAATACGGAGTAATGATTTTAAAAGGTTTATTTGTGACCCTCCAAAATCCCTCAATGCTCAATTTTTAAGTTTTTCCAAAATGAAGAATTTTGAAAGATAGTTAACTAAATATTAGCTAAGCACCTTGTGGTTCGATGACATCACTGCGATATTCCCAAGAAGGAGATCACATGTTCGAAACTCATCCCAATCAAGGATGTCGACATTTAACAGAACAGATACTATGAGAAAAGAGAAAGTATAGCAAAAAACTAACTAAATATTAATTTAAGCTAAATTTAAACTTAGTATCAGTTCAACTGTTTGAATTCACTATGAGCCCGTTTGGTAACACTAAAATTGGCTGATTTGGCTGATTCTGCTGAAATTTAAAAAGTTTGGCTGAAGTGTATGTATTGGCTGATTCTGCTTATTCATGAAAAAATTATATTTAAAATATTTGTTATTAATAAATAAAATAAAAAATTATATGAAAAATAGCGAAAATGATCCTCTACAGTAACTTCAGTCAAAACAGCCATAAAAGTATCTCCAACCTTACTTTTTCTGCTTATTACAAACTTCAGCACGCGAAATCAAAAATTACTTGTTTGGTGAAAAAGTTGGCTGATAAGCCTGATAAGTCGAGAAAAGAGGTTACCAAATGGGCTCTATATCTCAAAGTGATTTTAATTATGATTTGTTCAAAGATTCTTTATTTCTAAATTTATTACTCCCAAATAAGAAGATGGGTTTCCTCACCTTACTTCTTTTTCTCCTCCAACAATTTACCTTCTAGGTTTTCCCCTAGAAATGTAGTCACCAAAAACGATTCAAACTGTGTCCGCCAAGTAGTGTAGTCTTCCACCGCTAACAATTTGGTAGTCACAATATATTGTGACATTGGTTGCCACATGAGAGATGGTTTGGGCAAGATCCGTGAGGAGAGACCCGATCGGGCTGACTGCTGGTGTGCGAGTGGGAGGGACAACAAGGGTGACACCAGGTGAACCGACAAAGGTGGGACCGGCAAACGATGATCCAGCTGAGAAGGGTGGCGGTTCCAAAGGTATGGGCTGCACAAGGACTGGAGCCGACCATTGAAACATCTGTGGAGCATGCTGAAACAGAGAATAGGGCAGAGAAGTCCGGCTTGGTGATGCAAAGTTGGAGGAGAACGTCACACCGGTAGAGAAAGAGGTAGGCGGCGGCTGCATTCCAAAAGTCACTGGAGTGTCGGTTGATGGCTGCATGCTGGCCACGGCAGGAGAAGGAAGTTGGGCCGTGGAGGACGCCGTGTTGAGGGCTGCGGAAGCTGCACTTGTCATGGCGCAGGAGAGAGAAACGGCGACGGTGTGTGGGTGCTCTTGCGGCGGCGCTAGGGTTGCACGAGGCGGTGTGGGCGGCGGCTCTAGGGTAGCTCACGGCGCCGTCGTGTAGTGAGAGAATATCGAGAAAAAAAATTAATTAGCTCTTGATACCATGTGAGAATAATGGAAAAGGTTACTCCTTGAGAAGCCCTAGCAGATATATTTATATTAAAGAGAGTTTAATGTAAAGTACAATACTAAGCATCTAATAATTCTATTACCTTTCCCCCAAACTCCCAAACATACCGTTAATAATTAAGTCAAATTTTTTATTATATGATTAGGTCATTCTTTCAACTATGTGGTAATTGACACGACCTTAATGGTCGAATGGTTAAATCGAATAGGTAAACAACCCCGTAACCCCACTAAGTAAAGTTTCTCTTCCCTTTAGCTTGAAAGTAACATGGGTGATTCCATCGTTTGGATTAATAAAATTGTAAACATCATTCATTTGTTCACTCATATTTTGGAATTGTCAATCTTATGAGTTTTATTGGGAGTAGTTTTATGGAGATAATACGGAAACATGTGAGGTATATTGTGGCATAAGAATAAGAGAAATAATCTTAAATAGAACTAAACCTAAATATAATACAGAGTATACAAATGTGACTCAATAATGTATAGTATTTCGTAAATAGAAACAATTAAACATCAACTTTCTACACCTAATATAATTAATATCCCCTAGTTTTCTTGCATGACTAAAGTCGATTCGTCGGGTGATGGTGACAGACCAACTGCGGCGGCAGAGCTCAAGTGACCGGTGCTAGGTGGTGGCAGCCCAAACACTTGCAATGTTATTTTTAACCACACATAATTACTCATATTCAGGAAACTTAAAATAATCTCTTATTTTTTCATTTAACTCGTATTTCACTCCTATTCTATGAATCCACTCAAAGATTAACCGCTCACGGTTTTTGTCATATCAGGTATGGTGGCATAAAAATTGAAACACTAAGGGCATCTCCAATGGAGAGGTCCATTGTTGTTCCACCTCATTAAATGCACACCATGAAGGGAATTGTCTACTCCAATGCAAAAAGAAATGGACATGGTGGATCTTATGTGGCAATTAACAAAATGGAACAAAGTCCAACACAAGGTCCATAAATGGACCTTCGGTGCAACCTTCTGACAAGCAAGAGTGGGCCTATATTTATGTAATGCCATACATTTGCTTTTCTCTTTAGATTCCAATATTTACTTTTTGTTTTGTATTTGACTTCATTGCTGCGCATTGGAGGTCTCATTCAATGGACCATCCTTTTTGTGAACAGTGGACCAACTTTTCTAAATAGACCTAGATCAGTTTTTTGCCACTTTACCTGCAATGGACCAAGAGCATTGGAGTTGCTCTAAGTACTACAACAAGTAAAAGCTTCAGAAATAAAATACCAGAAAAAAGTGTTACAAATCTTCCTACACGATAGCCATCTATACTACTCCCTCCGTCCTGAAATTATCTTCATTCTTTCCTTTTTGGTCCGTCCCAAATTTATCTAATTTTTCCTTTTTTGGCAAAGAATTTGTGGTTCACAACCATTTTTACACATTTCTCTTTCCTCTGCACAACTCTCTACCACACATTTCTCACTATCTTAAAACTCGTGCCCAGTCAAATAAGGAGATAATTCTGGGACGGAGGTAGTACAAGAAACTAACTATCATTATTACATATACTCGTGGAATATTAACTACGTAGTACTCCGTAAAAAAGTGGTCAATAGCAAATTATAAAATTTTGTGGGCCACAAGTAATTTTTTGTGCTTGGTAGGCAGCATTTTTAATACTACCTCCGTAACACAAAGATCTTCCCATTTTGACTTTTCACGGTCTTCTAAGTTGAACTTTGACTCTAAATATCTACATATCTATATTTATAAAATTCATAATAAATTAACATTCAAATAATATATTTTACATTGAGGTATATGAAATAAATTTTTAATCATAACATAATGTGAGTTTTGAATAATTAATGGTCAAAGTTTATAAAATTTGACCCAAAATAGTCAAATTGGGAAGATTATAGGGTTACGGAGGTAGTAAGAAATTGTCATGTGCTAGACTAAAATTAAACGCAGTCAAAGTCTCATGCGAGTTCTATAATTTATTTCCATTTTAGGATTAAAATGCTCCCGTTCAGAGCTTCAATTTCCATTATTTGTGTGATATCTAACGTACCCCTATTCAAGTTAATTTTCATGTGCGGTCGATAGGATATTTTTTGTACAATCACCATAATATTTTTAATACAAGTTGAGATAGATGATATCTTTTATGAG